TTGTTACATATATTATATAAAATATTATTCATGCTATCTACTTGTCCTATTTTATTGAAAAAATGTTTTTAACATTGTCTATGACCAAGAGTAAACGGGTATAACCCGTGCCGCTCGGCGAGAGTGAGAAAGTAATTTTAACTCGGTTATATGTCTTCATCACTATACTGAACAGACAGCTGCTATCATTGATAAAAATAAATATCAGGCGTATTTATTGATTATATGAATGTCAAAACTATCCAATGAAAATCGATGTAACAGACGAGCAGCATTACCATGAATGACACACACATATTACTTAACACCCCATTCATTACGCTTACAATTGAAATTTATAAAAATATATGGGACAAATTTACATATCAGTAAATTATGTCACGTCATTAAATTAGATTATCGTTAATATCTTGTTACTTGAGGATATAACCGAAAACATTTCAAATAAGATTAAAGACAGATATACTGACAAAATGCAAATATACAAGTATAAGGATGGTAGTGACCTATATACGTTTATATAATATATTTAAATGAAATTAGCTCATAATATGATAGTCGTTCTTGGTGAAAATGTCAAGCATTATAAGCATGCATTATTGGGAAAATTAAGTATGGCATAGTCATATTCGAAAAATCCAATATACATTTTTAGATTAGAAATGTATCAAATTAAGCTTGAACTGTTTAAAAATCGGTAACAAACGTAATTTTTAAAGCTGTAATTCTGATCAATTAAGTAAAGTCCACATAACCTGTTTCCTAAACAAAATTGTGAATTGTGTAGTTGGAAATAATATAATAGAAAACAGCATGCTTTGCTTGAACATTAATTCGTTCTTTAATTCCTATACCCGTATTGTTTTAACTTTGTCTCTAAATGTTATCATTTATAAAGAAAGGAAATAATTGTGACATACAAAATCATACAAAATTGCAAAGACACCTACCTGAGTAACATTCTATGAGTTCTACATCCCGGATCTTCAGTGTCGTCCTAGTTCTTTTATATTTGGCATGTAATTCTGTGTGGTTCTTTTGTAAACTCTCAAGTTTTTCCTCAGTTTTCTTCAACTTAATTTTCAGCGTTTCCAGTTCTTCTTTTAAGTTGTTTTCCGAGCGTACAACGTCATACAACTGGTTTTCAATATTTCTCAGTTTCGTTTCGGTAATGTTTAATTGCTCATTAGCATATTCTAATCGTTCACTTTTGTCCTTAAATTTATTTTTTAAGATTCTGTTTTCTCGTTCTAAAACGGCAGAATTTGTCTCCAGATCAACCAGCTTTGAGTTTGATTCAAATGACTGTCTCTGTGCAGCTGTCAGCAAATCAGATGTTTCATTAAGTTTATTTCTTGTTTCTAATAGATCAGCTGTTCTTTGACTAAGAGATGTTCTCATTGCATTGAACTGATTTTGCAATTGTAGGAGAAGAATATTCCCCGAACCTTCCTGGTTTGGTTGTTTGGTTTCTATAAGGTTTCCATGACGAGAAGTGGATTCAACTTGTACATGGTTATTCGAATACTTAACAGGCTGCAATTGAATTGCATTCCTGAGTACTTTCTGTATAGAACTTTCGAGCTCTTTGATTCTATTTTCATGATCGGATTTCACAACGTTAAAATCTTTTTGCATTTTTGTCATCTTTTCATCGGCAGGTAGTCGGATTTCTTGAGGTTTTAAGAAAGAATTAGTTTCCTCAAATGTCGTCTGCCTCGATGGAGCGCATGCCTCTGCATGGTTAAGGTAAATGTCATAGGTACACTTGCCATGTTTGAACTGACAGCTTACTTCCGAAGAAGAAGGTTCACCCGCAATTCCCACCGCAAAACCTAACACAAACACTAGTGACACTTTAAACCGTATACGGTGCATGTTAAATTTGTAACAAAATAACCAAATTATGCCGGGTGAAGTTGAAACTCCTTCATTTGTAAGGACATGTTATCAAATTACCAAGCTTACTAAGAAAAACATCATTTCATCATTTTATAAATCGCATCCTGGTAACGAATTCCTCCTCAAAATAAATTCCGCTAAACTTTGCTGTAATGAAAAAGTAAAGCATATGTTATGAAAATGCAATATTGCAAACTATAATAAACATTGTTACCGACTGTAGTATATGAATGTAAATAAGGTCGTATTTTTAACTTTTTACGCGTTTATGTATGGTAATTTATATAATAACACGCTTCGGTGATTAGTTTTAAAAATGACTTTACGGATTTAATTCAATCTGACAGTAAGATATGATCCAGTATTGCAGTTTGGAAAAAATATCAAAATCATTCACAGATTGTTAAATTTTCACATAATATACATGAATCGCGTTCGTTATTAAACAGCGTTACGCAGATATATATGTGTGTATTGTCGTGAGGTAACATCTGTTATATTTGTTATATATTAGTTTATTACTATCACTAGTTTATCACTATCCCCAAACATAAGAATTGGATAACATATGTTTAAATTATATGTCATAAAATAATGAATATCATTGTATGTAAATACTTCAAATGCTACATTAGAATGACATTTTTCTTCGTAAAAAAATGCTTGCATTTTTGAAATAATAACATGTGTGAAGAGACACATTTCATAAATTTATATCAAAATATGTTTTAATTTTAAAACATATTTATATTAAATTCATAAATTTATATCAAAATATGTTTCAAAATATATATATTTGTAAATTTAGTTAAAGCTTTTTTTATCACAGCCCATAAGTTAAGGTCAGCAATTTAAGCTGGTTCTGGCATCAAGTTTATTTGTATTTTTATGTGTAGTTCCTGTCTTTCATAGAACCAAGAAAAGGTGTTGTCTAATTATCAAAAGGTATATTGTTAAGAAAATTCCTGCGTAGAATTAATTAACTGAAGTTTATTTTCATATTATAAAGTAATGTTAATTAATATTCTACGTAAATACTTGATTGATCATAAATTGATCTTTTATTCATTTTTTTTAATTAATCTTTTTTTTAAGATTACATGCTATTGCAGGACTACCGTCTGTATTGTATTTCCTAAAGCAATGTGCACCTCGCCATAAATGTATGATGCTACCTGTAATGACACTGTCATACTGACAAAGTTAATAACCGTTAAATTAGTTATTTAGTTTTGTAAACAGAATGTTGAATATTTGACTACAATTACATACTTGGTTTGTCGCATTGGCTGTTGACTAGCAAGAAAAAAACATTTTTTTCTTAAATTTGTGCACACAAGTCATATTGTCACTTTCGCATAAATTGATAATATTTTAATAAACGTATATCACTAAATCTTGTTTTCAAGTTTGTTGTGATAAATGTGTGATGAAATTAATTTAATTTAATTTAATAACAGTTTTTGGTCATCAACGAAAGCTGGAAAAAGAAACAGTTCGTTAGAGCAATAAATATGCATCTGTATGATTCTATAAAATCAACAATTTATTTAAACTATTCAAGTCAAAATTTCAAAAGCTCGAAATAAAAAAAATATGTATGTATTCGAATGACAACAAAGCACAACTTAGACAATATTTTATCGGCAGACACTGGCACAAGAACGCACTGACAAGAATTTCTATTTGATTTGTTTTTTATTCTACAATATGAACGTATAGATGCAATGTCAAGTATAAATTATATTCCTAATCTTTATATAACCTTATAACACTCTCTTTGGTCGTTAAAGCCTTCATATATTTTATAAATCTTATAAATGTTAAGATATTATCATAAAGTTGAAAGTCTATTACTTGAATAAAGAATAACATGTTTGAGTTCGTGAGACAAAATGTAAGATGACATGCAGTTCGCAAAGCATTTAAGGACATGGTATCTTCTTTTTATCTTTCAATATGTTTTATTTTTTAAGGACTAAAAGAAGATAGCTAATACCAGAGCAATTCTATACCGTACCAAGTATGCCAAACTGTTCAACATATAAAAGTCAGACCCTTCAAACCATACCTTATATGTAATTTTTGTTTAGAAACAAGATAATTTATAACAATTTCCATACCTGGTATTTGTTAGTCCCAAGAAATTTCTCATTTAATTGATATGTTATTATTCCTTTAAACGTGTTTATATTCTTCGTCATTGGGTCGAAATATTAAACTATCAGAATTTTTATTGTCATTTTACTCCAAAATGTAAAATATTTTATGTTTTCCAAGAAAACAACTCTACTCGCATTTTAAATAATAATTTAAGTTACAACCGGCCAATGGAACATTATTTCTGAACTATTTATAAATATGTCACGGAATCCCCGGGCTGTAATCTAATTATTACGTTTCTCAAGGTATGGTTTGTTTACCATTTATGTACAAAGACCAAAGTTAAATAAAATTGGTTTCTATAATCATCAATGATTAACAAACATTGCATGTTCACTTACTTTTGACTATTACTAGTATTATAGTTAGTCTTTATAAAATTCAAATTTATGTTCATGATTACATGTTTGTTGATTTTCGTTCACATGTTATTAATTGGTACTTATAAAAAATTGTATTTAATTTTCTGACAATTAAAAACAAGGCAGTTTGTATTGCATTGTATGACGAATTCAATTCCATTCCTATTTTCTGTGCTATTAGGTTTTGCTCTGTATACAATTTTGAAATGTAAAACAGTATAAAAAATGTAATTCCTTACTTTTTGTCCCTTAATTACATAATACTAATGATTTGAAAAAAAACAAACAATGAAAACCACATCTATGGATTTTATATAAATTGAGTATTCCACATAACACAAAGCAAACGAACCATATCTAGTAAAAAAGAATATTGTTTAAATATTGTGTTTCCAAGAAATGAAATTATATAAGATGATAACAAAATGATATATCCATTATGTTTATTTTGTACGAACGACATGTTTCTCAGGTAAAAGAAAACAGTGTTTCTTTAACGTAAATAAACTATTAAAGTTATATCGCAAATTATATTTGTATTATCTGCACTTTGTTAAGTGTTATTGTATTCTGAATGGAGCTGATAATTCCAGGCATATTTTATAACTCTTAAAATAAAGTTACTTTTTGTCACTGATAAAACTTAATAGAAAGCTTAGAGAGTGATTTTATTAGGAATGTTAGAGATAGGGCAATCTTAAAATGCCTTTATCACAATTATTTTATTAACAAATTGCAATATGTTTATGAATTTCAAATTATAGAACAATCTTGCCACAGAGTTAAAATGCTAATTCCTGGTTTGATCTATTAATAGCATTATTCACTTGTGTTATTTGCTTGTATCTAGCTTATAACTACCTTTTCAGATGACTTAAATTAAATGTCTAACTTTTTAAGACCATAATTATGTTCGGCGATAAGCCATTGAAGCAAAGTAAATTCGAGTTTTATTTTAAGATTATCAATTAGAAAACACTGTTTATCTTTTCTAGCATCTGAAATAGATGAATACTTATAACCGACTTTTACCGTGAATTTATTCACCATAATGTTACTTGAAATGATGTATAAGTGAAAACAATTTTCAACGTAGAGAACATATATTTGAATTCAGAAACATATTATAAGTATCCATTTAGCCACTTTAAATCCCATCATCGCAAGTTATTTCAGACCATAACTGAAAAATAAGGTTACCGTAACAAAATGAAGATTGGGAAAAGACAACTGTTCTTTTTTACGTCTGTTGCTTGAAGATATTATACAGGCATTCATTTCTATATTTTTGCCTCATTTAATCTTTGGGAGAAAAGGTGAGGCATTGTTTTCATCACTTTTTTGTTGAAAAGTATTTTTATTGTAACGCCTGATTTCATGCAAGTATTTCTTTACTGTATAGAAAAAAATCATCTTTAGATATACAGAAAGAATGTTTCATTGTGAAAAATATTTTGTTAATCTTTTTGCAAGCTACTCATATTCTGCACTCATTTATTGTTATATATTATATTATCATATGATAATCAAATTATTAAAATTCTCACAAGGTTAGACAATATTAGCAAATAGCAGGAAACAAAAATGGTGCAATAGCACCAAACATATGAGCTTTGAAAAGAAAATGGTTCTTGATTTACTTAATAAGCACTATGTACACTGACTATGGTTATATTAGCATATTTAAAGAAAAAAGTATTCACAATAAAGTAAAGAATATTGAATGCCGACAGACCCCAAAAAGGCATAATTGAAAATGTTGTCGGGTCAGTTGATTGAGCTTGTTGATGGACGGTAGTGGTGATTGTAAGCTATCGTCTATACCCTAGCACCAGCTATAAGCAAATTTCAACATTATATATTTAATTAAGAACGTCCTCAGATGTGTACAATACGGCGATGATCAATGTGACACGTGCGTGTCATCCTATGACAAGTGGCGTACGTTTTTCTGTTAAGTAAATGAATGAGCGAAAATAACAACAGCCACAAAACAATGAGCGAATCTAAATTAAATTCAATTTTGAAAAGAGGTCTGAGGATGTTAGCATATCACATATAGCTACCTGTCAAGGAACAATTTACAGAGCAGGTAGCATTTCCCGAAGGTGATTATACATTATTTAAGTACGAATACTTGAACCACAGACTCGATAAAGATCAAATAGAATCAAATAGAAAATATCACACGGCACAAACAACACTGCTGTGACATTAAGTAATAGAAACGGAGTATCAAAAGAACGCCCCCAAAAGGCATAATTGAACATATTGCAGGTAATTGTGTTTGCAAGCTACAGTCCACGACCCCCGTACCGGCTTGAGCAGAATTCAACTTTTACAGGTATGCATGTTAAATGTGAACATTTGAAGGTAGAGCATACCCAGATGTATTTATATGGTGGTGATTTTGTAACAAATGGTAAATAATAAAACTGCAAGAAGTGAAGAAACTGTTAACTGTGTTAAAATGAAGCAGTTAAAATGTTCAATTTTTTAATAGTAGCCTATGTTTAATATTTTTCTTCAGTACAAAACACGTGTCTTTTTTGTTTCCAAAATAACACTATTGAAGTTATCTAGAGTGGGTGGACCGATACAATGCTCGGCGTAAAAATACAATATTTTAGATTAAAAAAAAATAATTGGCGTCAACTTACCTTAATGTTATATGTGCATTTTCAAGGCCGATGATATTGTTTCCAATAACCATTGTTTACATTTCCATTTCGCTGATCACATAATGACGTATTTGGCGGGAGCTAAATATAGCCCGGATAAGCAGATGCGGTTTAAGTGAAATTGTACCAAAGCTCGGCGTACTGTACAAAGTGGTCCAGGTTTGATTTTCGAAATATTTATTTTCCAATGTGATGAAGATAACATATTTAATAAATTGTAACAAGCAATTTAGTTAATAAATTTATTTTTACTTTAGTTTTTGCGCATTTTACAACCCCTGTATGCATGTCTCATAAACTTTCAAATATTGTTTTCTTTTCAACCTTTTTTCGAAACATAACACTGACATTACACATATAACTAAGTTTGAACATATAATATCAATGTAACCAACAGTTCATTAAGATATAAAATGTATTTTTCCAAATAAAACAATCAGTATCAAAGTCTTATCAGAATCATGTCAGACTGTGTAAATCTGTTATGATATCTATTCCTCTGTTTTTCGACAGGTATTACCACCGTAGGGAACGTGTTACAGTATCGCGTTTTCCGGTTACAGTATAGAATTTTAAAGATGGAGGATTATTTGTTGGGAGGACAGGTAAGTGATTTTTATTCCGGTCTATACTACAAGTAGTTTAGTTTCTAAAAGATGTTTTTGTGCTTTGCTTGTAGGGAACAGAATCCGGTATCTAGTCATATATTTCTTCAGACTCTGCATCGCAGATTTATCTCTATATTGTCTCATAAATATGCAGATTTGACAGTTTGTAAATTTGAATCGAGAGACCAACGCATTTTTCTCCAATTTCGACATTATTTATGCATGCCTAGAAAAAAGTAAATCTGCAAAACGTTAGTCCTTTATGTTAGGAAACGTTTATAAAAGTAAATGACCAGTTTAACCTATTTTCCTGTTCGTTAAATGCGTTTGAAAAAATAAACAATGTTACAGTATAGAGCGAGGGGATTTGTGCAGGGTTACAGCATAGACCTAGCGATTTTTATCCGATTTTGTTACAGTTTATACCCAGATTTCGGTTACAGTTTAGACTTCGATATTTTCTATATATACTAGGTAAAATGTATGAATGTTACATAGACTTTTAAATCTCTGTAAGCTTATTGGCCCGATGGCTATTCGTTCGTCTGTCGTACACATGTGTGTGCAATCTCATCCGCTCAGTAACTACTTGACTAAATGTGATGAAATTTACATGACTTTCTACCAATTAAGTTGTTCAAATGGTTTCGGTTGCAATCGGGGATACGAAAACCCAAAACATAGATTTTGAAAAAAGGCAATGTTTAAAGACCCTTCTCATCTCGAATCAAAAGCATTCAAATCAAATCATGATCATGGCGTCATTTCGAATGCTACTTTGTTGAAATTACGATTATTTTGTCATTATTAAATTAAAAGTCGTTTTTTTTTATTTCAGACATCCTGTATAGCAGTTTTCATGGTTCTGAAAAAGAAAATAATATTGAAAGTTATAGAGTATAAATTAAGGTCAGACAATTACAATATCTTCTTTTGTGAGCCTGATGGAGGTACATAATAGTGGCAGAGTCGGGATAAGGCCGTCGACTTTAAATTATCTTTCATTTACTGCTGTAGTTGAAATCGAATCATGACTGGATTCTTTGTATGTGAGGAATCTATCAAGCTAATTTACGGAAGGTCGGTGGTTCTAGTAAGGTGCCCGCTCGTGTCTGAAATGTTTCACAAAGGGTATCTGGGGTCTTTCTTTACACTAAAGCAGGAATGTTTTCACATGACCTCAGTGTCGTTGAAACTTAAAATCCAAGAAAGCCAAACGTAACAAACCCTTTTAAATACTTACAAAATACAATATGGTAGATGGAAATTCCAACTTAAAATAAAATTTAGGTTGCAGTTTTGCTCGTTTAATCATTCTTAGGGTATTGCCTGCTTGTTAATTGTGTCTTATGACAGCTTATCTATGGTATGCAGAATTCATAACCTCCGATCCCCTCTCAAAATTTCATTTTATTTAGTTTCACTCATTGTATTCTCGTTAAGGGCACACGTAATTTTTAACCTGGGGGTAATATGCCGCTTTTCATAGAATGGCAATAACGTGTCACATTGAAGGTTTCATGATAACCGCCATATGAACACATCCACAGATGTTGAAAAATCT